TCGCGATATGATCCTGATATCCCCATCAATATCATGATATCCACATAAATATCACGATATCACCAGCAATATCGTGATATTATCTGGATATCCCCATCACTATCGCGATACCCCCCCCAGGCGACCGCCTTCGAGTCCCTGGGCCGCTCCCCACACCAGGAATATCCCGATACCCCATCACTATTGTGATAATATCGCGATATCCCCCCCTCAGGTGACTGCCTTTGAGTCCCTGGGCTGTTCCCCGCACCGGGAATATCCTGATATCCCATCACTATCCCGATATCCCATTACTATCGCAATAATATCACAATACTATCGTGATATCCCCACCAGGTGACCGCGTTCGAGTCCCCGGGCCGCTCCCCGTACCGGGAATATCCCGATATCCCATCAATTTCCCATCAATATCCCATCAATATCCCATTAATATCCTATCAATAGCCCATCAATAGCCCATCAATATCCCGATATCCCACCACTATCGCAATAATATCACGACACTATCGCGATATCCCCCCTCTCAGGTGACCGCCTTCGAGTCTGTGGGCCACTCCCTGCACCGGGAATATCCCGATACCCCATTACTATCGCGATAATATCACGATAATATCGCGATATCCCCCCCTCCCAGGTGACGGCGTTCGATTCCCCGGGCCGCTCTCCGCACCGGGAATATCCCAATATCCAATCAATACCCCATCACTATTGCAATAATATCGCGATATCCCCCTCTCAGGTGACGGCGTTCGATTCCCCGGGCCTCTCCCCGCACCGGGAATATCCCGATATCCAATCAATACCCCATCCCTATCACGACACTATTGCGATATCCCCTGCCCCAGGTGACCGCGTTCGCTTCCCCGGGCCGCTCCCTGTTCCAGGAATATCCCGATATCCCATCACTATCACGACACTATCACGATATCCCCCCTCCCAGGTGACCGTGTTCCAGTCCCCGGGCCACTCCCCGTACCAGGAATATCCCAATAGTCCCACTACTATCACAATACCCCATCACTATCGCAATAATATCCCGACACTATCGCGATATCCCCCTCCCAGCTGACAGCGTTCGAGTCCCCGGGCCGTTCCCCGTTCCGATATCCCATCACTATCGCGATAATATCACGACAATATCACGATATCCCCTGCCCAGGTGACCGCGTTCGGTTCCCCGGGCCGCTCCCCGCACCGGGAATATCCCGATATCCCATCAATATCCCAATACCCTATCACTATCCCGATATCCCATCACTATCGCGATAATATCCCAATATCCTTGTCACTATCACGATATTGTCGCGATATCCCCCCTCAGGTGACAGCGTTCGGTTCCCCGGGCCGCTCCCTGCACCAGGAATATCCCAATATCCCATCACTATCACGACAATATCGCGATATCCCCCCTCTCAGATTACAGCGTTCGATTCCCCGGGCCGCTCCCCGTTCCGATATCCCATCCCTATCACGACACTATCGCGATATCCCCTCTCAGATTACAGCGTTCGGTTCCCCAGGCCGTTCCCCGTTCCGATATCCCATCACTATCGCGATAATATCACGACACTATCGCGATATCCCCCCTCAGATTACAGCGTTCGATTCCCCGGGCCGCTCCCCGTTCCGATACCCCATCCCTATCACGACACTATCGCGATATCCCCCCTCTCACATTACCGCGTTCGATTCCCCGGGCCGTTCCCCGTTCCGATACCCCATCACTATCGCAATAATATCACGACACTATCGCGATATTCCCCTCTCAGATTACCGCGTTCGATTCCCCGGGCCGATCCCCGTTCCGATATCCCATCCCTATCACGATAATATCCCAATATCCCCATCACTATCCCGACACTATCGCGATATCCCCTCTCAGATTACAGCGTTCGGTTCCCCGGGCCGCTCCCCGGTGCCGCCGGGGCTCGCGCACGGCGCTGATTGGTCGCAGCTCGAGTTCCTTCTGTCGGGGGTGGAGCCCGGCGGGNTCGCGATATGATCCTGATATCCCCATCAATATCATGATATCCACATAAATATCACGATATCACCAGCAATATCGTGATATTATCTGGATATCCCCGTCACTATCGCGATATCCTGTCACTATTGTGATATCCTCTCACTATCGCGATATCCCCATCACTATCACGACACTATCGCGATATCCCCCCTCAGGTGACCGCCTACGAGTCCCCGGACCGTTCCCCGCACTGGAAATATCGCAATATCCCACACCGGGAATATCCCACATCACAAATGCCACAATGTTATCACGATATTATCACAACATCCCTAGCACTATCGCAACACTATCGCGATATCCCCCTCCCAGGTGACTGCCTACGAGTCCCCGGGCTGTTCCCCGTAACAGGAATATCCCAATATTCCCATCACTATCGCGATACCCCCATCCCTATCACGACACTATCGCGATATCCCCCCCCAGGTGACCGTGTTCGATTCCCCGGGCCGCTCCCCACACCGGGAATATCCCGATATCCCATCCAAGGAATATTCCACATTGCTAATATCACGATATTATCCCAATACCCCATCCCTATCACGACACTATAGCGATATCCCCTGCCCCAGGTGACTGCCTTCAAGTCCCCAGGCCGCTCCCCACACCGGGAATATCCCAATATCCAATCAATACCCCATCACTATCCCGATATCCATCACTATCGTGATAATATCACGACACTATCGCGATATCCCCCCACTCAGGTGACCGCCTTCGAGTCTGTGGGCCACTCCCTGCACCGGGAATATCCTGATACCCCATCACTATTGCGATAATATCCCAATATCCTCCTCACTATCACGATATTATGGTGATATCCCCTGCCCCAGGTGACCGCCTTCGAGTCCCAGGGCTGCTCCCCATACCGGGAATATCCCAATATTCCCATCACTATCCCAATATCCCATCACTATCACGATAATATCGCGATATCCCCCTCAGGTGACCGCGTTCGATTCCCCGGGCCATTCCCCGTTCCGATATCCCATCATTATCGCGATAATATCACGATAATATCACGATAATATCGCGATATCCCCTCTCAGGTGACAGCGTTCGAGTCCCCGGGCCGCTCCCCGTTCCGATACCCCATCACTATCACGATAATATCCCAATATCCCCATCCCTATCACGACACTATCGCGATATCCCCTCTCAGATTACAGCGTTCCGTTCCCCGGGCCGCTCCCCGGTGCCGCCGGGGCTCGCGCACGGCGCTGATTGGTCGCAGCTCGAGTTCCT